GAACATGACTGTGGCTACTGCTGTTGCGGGCTTGCAGGCTGCTGCTGCTGCCTGCAAGCCCGCAACAGTCCCTATCTGCGAGTACTTAAATCGTACACAATGGAATGATATGTGCCATCGCGTTACATTCCCGCTCATTCCTAGGGAGACCGAGCGGGAGTTCGGCGACCCCCGGTTGTTTACCGGGGTCGAAGGCGCAACCGAAAAAGGTGGGAAAATGAACTTCAGTAAAGACTACAGATACCTGAAAGCTAACTTAAATTTACGATTACATTCACCCATTATGTTACTTTACATTTATATTCAGTCATACGATACTTGTAACACTTGGGTAAAGGAATACTATGGACACCGTGTACTGACACTGCACTGTCATTTGCGGTGCCAGCCAGAATTTGAACGCTGGCTCTTTCATATGTTTACACCAAAGCCATTGCGGTAAACAGTGATACAGTACTGTAGAAGATTCCAGCATGCCAATGCCTTTTAAAGCCTTGGGCAGCGATCCTCATCACCTCCACGGGTCAGACAAGTGGCAGGGGGGCGTGCAGCGGTAACTCGCGTGCGTCACGCAGCAAGAAGGGCCCCAGGGTGGTTTCTGACTCGGGGCGGGGGGGGGGCTTTTTTTCGTGGACTGTGTATATGACTTGACTTAAAAGCTTTCGTGACTGCAGGAATTCATATTCTTTGGGTCTTTCGGTAAAGTCACGTAGATAGAACAAAAAAATGATAAAAATGAAAATAAAGTGAAAACAATTTTTTATAATTTTTTTCACTTTATTTTTCAACTTTATTTTCATTTTTGTTTTTATTATTGTATTGTTCTATCTACGTGCCTTTACCGAAAGACCTAAATAATATTAATTACTGCAGTCACGAAAGCTTTAAGTCAAAATAAAATAATAAAAAATATTTGATTGTTATTCTTTTTTATATGTGACTTTACCGAAAGACCCAAAGAATATGTGCATATGTCCTCCACCTGTTCTGCATGGGTTTGGATTTAGCTCATAGCTAAGCACATACAGTGTTATTGGTGTTGACAAAATATCCGGATTCATAGACCCGCCTGAAAAAAAATCCTTTTCGATTCTGTGTGGCTTTCCTGGATGAATTATCTTTCTAGTATAGACATCGCACTTGCCGAGACCATATGAGGTGGCAGACTTAGTTGTGGCTACGGCACTGATACTGTACATACAAAAGGTGACAGACAAAAGCATGATTGTGACCACAACATGGGCCCTCCCATCATGCCTTGTGTATCTTGACACTCTCACCTCCTTCTATGTCCCCTCTCATCCTCTTCGTTCCCAGACTTCTCTCCCTCTCTCTGTCCCTCATTGTCCCTGTGCCCAATCCAGTTTTCAGTCCTCCCTCCTTGCGCCCCTCCACTGGAATAAACTCCCTCCTGTACATTATAAGCAGTCCTCCTCCTTAGCCTCCTTTCATTAATTTCTCAAAGCTTCACCTCTTCTCCATTGCCCATTCCCTTCCTCGTCCTTACCCTTTCGTGATCCCTAAGTACTGTACCTCTCTATCACTGTCGCTCATTCCTCAACCCTCGCACGCCATTGCCATCGAATTAATTATATTGTCACCGTGTTTTTTAAAGTATGCTAATCACCTTTCGTGAAGATGCTCTATAAATATTAGATTTATAGATGTGAAATCACCGTACTGCATGTACAATGCACACGGCATTGTTTTTAGACCACCGATTCAGAAGAGTAAACATTGTGACCATAGTATTCTTTGTTTTCAGTCTGCATTCACTCTTCTGTCTGTCTGATGAGTTTATCATCATTTTAATTAGTTTAAAACTTAGTTGTGTGTGTTTTTACATCTATAACCAAAGATGGCACTTGGATATAACAATATATTTTTTATCCATTGTCATGTAATAATTCAAATTGTGTTAATCTTTTAAGGACATTGCTGCCACTAAAAGTTTGTCACCTCGGTTTGTATAAATATTTGCTCTGGTTCATGGACTGCACATACGTGTTAGTGTCAATGTATTTGCTTGCTCGGGAAATCCTAGTAAACAAATGTAATATCAATGCTACCTGCACCACTAATTAACTGCATGGCTCCACTCCACTGTATCATCGTCACTACTATTATGATTAAACTTCAGGATAACTGATGCGCGGTGTTTCCAAAGGCAATTGCGCATGGATCCGACCTTGTCAGCGATGGCGTGGCTGGACTATTTAGAGAACCGCGTGCTCCTAAAACGAGATGCCTTGGCAGCTGCAAGCTGTCACTTGTGCGAGTGAGAGGGTGAGCGGGAATGCAATGTGCCGTATGTTGAGCTTCTTTCGCACCGGACGTAGCCAACTGGGCTCATCGGAGGTGCGGGAAATGGACACGGAATGGACGCAGGGATAGAATCAGCCCCATAGCATTTGGGGGTGGAGGGGGTGCTGGAGGGGACTGAGAACCCTCCCCACTCACCCACCTCTTGCTAAAGGCTCAGCCCACCTGCTTAATTATTATATTCAAGTAACAAAAAAGATTGCCACAAACATGAGTACAATTACACAATGGACATCGCAGCCTCTTCTCCTGTACACGGAATGCACGAAAGAACAAAACCGATCTCATCTCCAGATTTATCTTTTGTTGCATCTATGATTTTCAATGTAATATTAACCATGTTGTGCCCCTCCCCCTGACTTTATGTATGCCCCCGCCCCCTACCACCACCACCAAGGTCACGTAACAGAGTTGAATGGTATCGAGGGATGGGGTGGCTCAAGAGAGCCACCGAGAGAGCAGGGAAGCTGGTGACAATGGGTGACGTTTCAGTGCTGTCACCACAGCCTGGCTCTGTCTGCCCGGGCTATCTAAGTGCTCGTGGGGCTTTTGTGTTTTTTTTACGCAGTGCAGGGCCACGTGGCTTTTTTTTTCCATTGGGATTCAACAGCGCCTGCCTCTTGCCGCATTAGATCGCTGCCAGTGACACTGTCCTGCACAGACAGATATGGCATTAGCTCGTACTATACTGCATTAAACAGTATATATACACACACCGCTTGGTGACACTGTTTTCATTCAATAGCTCAGTATACGTCGATAGAGTATATCAGTATGATTGGTAATATTAATGCTGACCTAAAATATATTGTTTGGCATCATAGCATCGATATATTAACAATGCATTGACAATGTATCGTTTTCATTCTGCCTAAACATTATTCTGTCTGTACAAATATTACTTTTGTGATGCTTTATGCAATATAATTTAGTCTGTATATCATATACTGGGGTTGGAGCGGTGGTATAGTGGTTCTAACGTTCCTCACTACAAGCCCAGTGACCTGAATCTTAGTCCTTGCCTTGGCTGATATCCACGATGAGTGGTATCTGAATCAGTTCTGGCCTTTCCCATTACCAACCCGTACTGACCAGTGTGGTGAAGTATGGTCAAACAATTACCCAGTCCTGACAAAAAGTGGGGAGGCCTTCATCCAGCAGTGGATTGACACATTAATGTACATAATCTTCATTGTTAATACATTAAAAAAATTATAGGTTGGGTTGTATTTAATCACAGTCACTATAAGAATACTAGTGATCTACCCTGAGACTTCTAAATAAATGCATTATCAATATCTGTAAGGGGCCCTTCACAGTGTTTCTCCGAACCACATTCACACATTTCTCAGAACCACATTCACACATTTCAAGCACACACGGGAGGCAGAGATGTGTATAGTGAAGTCAAAATTCCAGCGAGCTCTGGCCGCGGTGAGTTGGAGTCAGCTGTTGAAGTTGTTGAGTTTATTATTAAACGCAGCCCCATTATCCACCGAAGCCCACACGCAGTCACAAACCGCGCCTGCCCAGAATAGCGTGGGCCATGTGTCTCAGATTGTCAAATCAGTCTAGAGACAGAGACATGGACAGACTGCCAGAGGCAAATATACAAAACAGATAACAGGGGCAAGACGTGCATTTAAAGTGACAGAAGAATGGAGACCGTGGAGATAGACAAGGAGATGCGGTGCACACAGACAGAGGAGACAGATGCGTGATGGACACATGGAACCAGACGAACAAGGCTCTAGGCAATAGTAAACGGACTCTAGGTAAAAGTTGGGCGATGGTGACTTGTAACAAGACCTGCTGTGGACGCCGATAGTCCACCTTGGCTCAGTTGCAGGTCGCTCATTCCCCTCTGCTGACCGCAGCGACTGGACCTCCTTACCCACAGTCATCTGTGCTGTCAACTCCCTGCCCATGTATATTCTTGGTTCTTTCGGTAAAGTCACGTAGAAGGGAAACAATAAAATAATAAAAATATAAAACAATAAAATTCTCACGACGTTTCGACTGCAACACAAGCAATCATCATCAGGTGTGAAAACCACAACAATACATTTTTATTGTTTTATATTTTTTAAAATATTTTTATAATTTTATTGTTTCCCTTCTACGTGACTTTACCGAAAGAACCAAGAATATGAATCCCTGGAGTCACGAAAGCTTAAAATAAAAATTTCCCCTGCCCATGGTTAAGTCCATGGTCAAGTCCAGGCTCAAGGCATTTCAGAATATTTTCAGAATTACAATGTCTTTATACTGGAGGAATCCGATGAGCTATAACGCTGTTTTTCACAGATGTCCAGGGCAATTATTTGTTTGGTCGGCCAAGAGACTGCCTGCCTCTTTCACTATATAAATTAAATATGCCAACCTTTTTTCTGTAAGGCGTATTGATTAAGGCGCGGCAAAAGTTAAACACCGCTGGATACAATCCACATCGCTCTGCAATTGTTTCTGACAACCGGCGACACAGAGAGAGACACGAAAGACGTACAGACACACCGGGACAAATTTTTGTTTGGCAAAGCCAGACACGTTGTCGCACTGAGAAGGCAAGGGCCGGACCACAGAAAGACCGATAATTACAATTGGTGACAGGCAGAGAGAGAGAGAGACGGGGCCAGTCGTGGAGGAGACGGAACGGTGAGTGGGTGAGCGGAACGCACCTCTGATCGGCTCTTGAGGCTGCTGCGCTTGGGTCTGAAGAGAACATCCTTGAAGTCGAGTTTCAGGTCTGCATCCACACGCGGCATTTTGGCTGCGTCTATCTCAGTGAGGCTGCGAGGATGTGTGTGTGTGGCTCAGTGCGTGCGCGCGTGGGTGTATGTACGGACGTCTGTGTGTGTGTGGCTGTATAGGTGTGTGTGCATCTGTGTGTGGGTGGGTGTAGGTGTGAATGTGTGCGAGTGGCTGTGTAAGTGGATGTGTGGTTATGTGTTGGTGAGTGAATGGAGGTGTGCGTGGTTGCGTAGGTGGGAGTGTGGCTCAGTATGATTGGGTGGGTATATGGCTGTGTGTGTGTGGATGAATTGTATTTATGGATATGTGTGTGCTAATTTAAGTAGGTGGGTGAGTGGGTTAGCGTATGGGTGTATCTCTGTGTGTGAGTGTGTGGCTGTGTATGTATGCGTCTGTCTCTCGGTGCCCCGTGAGAGTGGCTGTCAGCACCTGGGTGTGCGTGTGGTTGGGTGTGACTGGTGGTGAGATTTACATGCTGCGGTGCTGTTTCTCTGCAGGGCTGTGCGTATGGCTGCGCATCTGTAGAGTTGTGTGTGTGTGTGCGGATCTCTGCCTCTCCGTGCTAGTCAATGTGAGTACCCGGGTGTCTGTGTGTCTGTTGTGTTTCTCGCTATCGCCGGGCTCCCTGTATCCGTTTCCAACGCAGCCTCTTACCCCAGTACCCCCGTCAAGGTTATATTTAGGGACGACAGGCGTCCAGGTTCAGCCTGAGTGTGGGGTTGAGGTTAATTCCTAAGCAACCCATGCACCCAACATCGCATACGCACTGCGCACTGCTGCCGATCGATGTGGGATTTTGACTTGACGAACTATTTTGCTGAGTAAGGGTCTTCGCGGTTGTGCTGTACGGTAGGGCACGATGTTCCGACGTTTCGCTCAATGTGCTGGGAGTTTCTTCAACCCATGTCCGACGTTTCGCCCCATGTGCTGAGAGCTTCCGTTAAAAAACGGTCGGGAACTGAAAAAAAGCTCCCAGCGCATTGGAGCGAAACGTCGGACATCACGCCGAACAACACGTGTGGTATAAAACCTGGAAACACGTGGACCGAGAGCTTGAATGCCCATTGCTCCCGGATTCTGCTAACCCCAGTATTCACTGCCCACCACGGCACGTCTGTTCAATGGTTACCCATTACAGGCAACACGCGCCTGATGATTGCTATAGTGACGTGGAGAGGTCTATTTCCAATTGAAAAATAGATCTTGTGTGCGTGTGTCTGTGTATGGGGAGTGGTGGTGTAGCGGTCAGCGCGCTGCGCTACGAACCTGGCGACCCACGTTCGATTCCCGCTCACGGCCAACACCAACAGTGACGATTATCTGAACCGGTCCTGCCCCCCCCAGGTCGACTCAGCCTCAAATGAGTATCTAGTGCGATGTCTAAACATCGCCACTGGGGGGAGACAAAGGCGGCCGTGCGTGGTGCTGGCCACCCACCTCTTCGTGTGCTGTTCCGGCTTTCATAGGTGCTCGCTAATAGCACTTGCCCCAACAATATGTTACAGGCTATACGGGGGATCTTTATGGCGTACACAGCAGCTGATTCAAATGTAACAAATCATGTGCTGCGTTAGCGGTGGTGCACAACACACAAATAACAAAATAACTGCCTTAAAATGAAAGGTATACAGTATAATAGGCGACGTTTCGGGCAATGATCTTGTACTATAAAGGGTAATTGGCAGAAACGTTGCCTTCTTCACAGCAAATGTGCTATGAAGAAGAGCTATTGTCCCAAACGTTGCCAGGAGTATAGATTTCATTTTAATGCCACAGTGATATTGACGAATGTGTTGATCTTTTCATTTATTTTTTCTTAAAATCCGTGCCCTCTAATTTACGTGGGACGTGTGTTTCGCAATCATCAGACACGTCTAGCGTGTATCGACCAAATTTGCATTTTAACGAACAAGAGTTGTAAACTCGTATAGATAGATATACTGTGGTGATTTGTGAGGAATGTAGTTTGGGAGACGCTGGATATTTTTTGTTATGACAGTTCAGCATCCTTTACGAAAAATATTGGCAGTTATTATTAAGCGTTGTAGTGCATACTGTAGTATACATGGCTAGTTTGAAGTATATTTGTATGTGTATCATATACTGTATCATGGTTAGGTTATATATAGCATACTAATATTAGTATAGGCGTATTTATCCAGTTCACTCTTTATAGTAGATATATGGCATGTATTTATAGCCTTTATTCAGGAAAGCTAAATTGGGTTTCAAGACTTTTTTTCAAGAGAGTCGTGGGTTGGGATGTTTGGCCAAATTATTATTATGATGCATGTTTCATTCGGAGTGGTTTGCTCAAAATCAGCCACGCACACGTGGAGGTGAACACTCTACACTCCGCACAGATGGGTTCACGAACCCACCTTGCCCTGCTACTTCCTGGCCACGTCACAGCCCAGGTTTTGGGAGCTTCACAAATCTTTACGGGATCCACCAACCCTTGCCACCCAAGTGCTCGATCACCACGTGTGACGACTCAGTACTGCAGTATGCTATAGGACTGCAGTGATCAAAAGTCATAATTGACAATCGCAGTGATTTATTTTTTACAATATTACAAGATGATCAAGAACTTGCCGAGTTGCTATTATGTGTATAATTATCATGATCAAAATGTACATCACAGCATCTCTATGTCGTCACCTTCAGTATGATAATCATCATAAGTATACGTTGATTAACGATCAGCATCATTTGTAGGTTCATTATGCCTCTTTTATAATTATCATATGAATGTTGTCACTATCCTCCACATCGTCATCGTTATCTGTATTAGTCAATCATCATCCTCTACATAACCGTCATCCTCAACATGATCATTATCAACTGTATGTTAAATTCGATTCGTCACATTCTCTACACCACCGCCGACATACATACTTGATTCTTATCGCATTTCAGAAATAAATCATTATTCCTCGCACGGAAATTTCTCAAGGTCATCCCGAGGTGGAATTCAAACGAAAATTTGTAGATTAAAGAGAATGCCTTGTCTTGTTAGCATGCTCATGTATCGCTCAGCCCGAGCTGATTTGCGCTTCAAGGAATTTTATATTTACCCTTGATTTACCCTTGATTTACACTTGTGCAATGTTTACCATTCCTCTAAGCGATATATTTGTTTTTGTCTGATTTCTATTTACGTCATTGCTGTGCTTTATTTGTGTTGCTTTTGTCATTTTGGTGATCTAGGTCACGTCCACACGGGACTACACTGGTCTCTTGAATTCTCGCCTGGTTAAACAACATTATACTTGCAACTCGGAGTTGTCGTTTTGACTGTGGCTTCAGTTCTCTTTGCCTGGCATCTATCATGTGAAATCACCTATCTGGGTTGAGGATTGATGACCGTCCCTGATACTTTCCATCTTTTTGCGATTTTAAACATCTCTCTCCCTCTTAAAGAGAGTGCTGTCCAACTGCTTACATTGCTCTGCCAATCTATATTTTTTCATCCTATCCCCCGATTCGCTTACATTTCCCCTTGCAGGATCACCTTTCTCATATCTTCAGCAGATCCTCTTAGGGGATGTTTCACATGTGCGACGCATGTGATATGAAACCAATGTGTAAAATAGAACCCCTTTTCATATAATTCTTTTATATTGTTTCTTAATTGTAGTTTCTGTACACCATGCACGAATAAATTAACCAGAAACAATGAATAGCCCATCATCAATCCATGTATGTATGTACTGTATGTTAAACTTCTTTGGCACCGTACGTAGCCGACCATGCTAATCTGAGGAGCAGGGAAGGGGGGTTGATTGACCATGCTTCACCATGCTGGTCAGTGGGGGTTGGTGAAGGCGTGGAGGAGAATAGGAAAATAAAATATTAGTATGTGTGTAGAACCGTTGTAGGAGTAGTGGTTGTGTAGTTGAAATACAAAATTCAACCCCACCCCAATGATTCTATGGATTGTCACAATTCTGGTTCCACGCTACTGTCAGATATTCTATTATTTTGAATCTTTTTTTCTTTCAATTTTGTTTATATTATTGTGTTGCTTTCTCTCTCGATTATACATTTTGTTCGCTTCTTCTTTAGCATAAAATAAACATTACCATCCCATTGTGTGTACAGATTTTGATTGTCATACAATCATTATCATAATAATTTCACACACTCACGATTTACTACGTGTTTCGTAAGCCTATTTATCGATTTTAATTGATGATGCATGGCTTTTAATGTTTACTGTGTCGTAACTGAACTTGAGGCACTGCAGGATTTGTAAATGGAACCATTAACAAAGACACAGGGTGGACGTGCCGTATCATTGTCCCATTTCTGTGTTGATTATCACGGTCAGTGTGGCAGTTGCTTGAGTTTGCCAAGTTGCCCAGGTTTCTGACTCCGTATCCAACAACACTGATGGCAAACTCTTACCTACTATGCTGCACAAGAAGGGACAGTGCTTGATTGTGTAGACTTGCAAGAACGGTCTCGTTTAATGTAAATGTGCGTCAGCGGCATGCGTCAAGCATTTCCTTGTGGCATTTTGGCCCAAACGACTTCAGCGTGGGAATGCAGTGTGATTATCCGGTCTCTCTGACTCCTAGCAGGCGCACATATAAACCCGATTTTGTAACTGGCACTAGCCTTTTGCCCATCAATAGTGTACAGTATATATTATTTTCTAAGCAGTTTACATAAACAATACACGTTTTGTACATTTAGAAGTGTCCGGTGGCTATGCACGTTGGTCGATCACACAAATGGTGTGAAACTCCATTCCAATGGGCGTCGAGATGCTAGAAGGCAGTTGAGCAAGTGGACTAAGCACCATCTGTTTCCAACTGTACGGGGATAGAGTTTCCCCGCCGCCCCTCACTTACGTGGGGTTTCTCCGGCTGCATTTCCTCCCACTTGTATAAATTCTCATTGATTGGCTGTAATCATCTGAAAATCAAAACCCAATGCAGGACGAGAAAAGAGGTCGTACGACTCAGTGTGGCTTTCCTGGATAAATAATGAAATTGTGTGCATTTATTATTAATTTGTATAATAATCAGTAATGGTTTAACATACAAAAATACAACGTTCATACGTAAACTAGCCTTTTTCCCGTCCAAGGACGGGGTATATTGCGGTAAATCTGAAACTTGCAAGCCAAAAGCAGACCGCGACGTGACATTCATTGCATCAATGCGTGTGCGATTTGTAAGGGCGCGGTGACACAGACCTATTTCATTTTAAGGTTATAATCCCTTGTTCATCGTGACGTCTTGCCTTAAAGCTTTCGTGACTGCAGGAATTGATATTCTTTGGGTCTTTCGGTAAAGTCACGTAGATAGTGTTGAAATCGAAACGTCGTAGTTTTTTTGTTACTTTCTTTGTACCTATCTACGTGACTTTACCGAAAGACCCAAAGAATAACATCGTGACGTCCTTTTTACTTTGATGTCTCAACAGCAGCGTTACGGAGATCACGTGATGACGTGAGGGTTCTGCCTTTGTAGTGAGGGTTGTGAGTTGACGCCACGCCCCCCGCCCATGTGGAGTGACGTCAGCCGCTAATTATTATTAATGGGGGGGTGTCCATTTGGAGGACGTCACCTTATAATGATTCTTAATTAGGGGGGCTGTTCGATGTGGAGTGACGTCACCTGATCATGATTATTAACGAGGGGGGCTGTTCGATGTGGAGTGACGTCACTTGCTCATGATTATTAATGGGGGGGGAGTGCTCCATATTGAGTGACGTCACCCGCTCGTGATTATTAATGAGTAGTGGGGGGGTGTCCATTTGGAAGACGTCACCTGCTCATGAATATTAATTAGGGGGGCTGGTCGATGTGTAGTGACGTCAGGAGCGTTAAGAACACTCCTGGGTGATTATAGTAGGTATTCTATTTGAAAAGATTATTATTTAAAAAATACAATTACCTTTGTATACACGTGGTATTTAAAATAGCTAACGTTCAGTAATCATTATAAATAAGTAAACATTTCGCAATGTACAGGCCCCTTGTCACTCCACTGTTCGATGGACGTCTCTCACATCCTATCCGTGTTTTTTACATACTTCACCACTCTGCTCAGTGCAGGTTGGTGAAATTAGAGGAGACCTCGGACCGGTTCATATAACACATTCTACTGCTGAGGGAGCTGGTAGGAACGTTGGGTTGCTCGGTCAATGGCCAGGGTCAACGGCGGCACCACGTGGTGTATTCCGCAAATATGCCCGACTGTGAGGGCGGGCACAAGCCGGCGTGAGTAGGTTAAACGTTGAGTTTTATAAGGGCACCACGGGGTGACCAGCCCCTCCCCACCCAGCCCCTACCCACCCAGCCCCTCCCCACACAGCCCCTCCCCACCCAGCCCCACCTCTCCCCACCTAGCCCCACCTCTCCCATTTTTGGATGCACGACGGACGGACGGACACAATAATCCCCTGTGGGCTACTGGTGTAACCAGGAGGTTCCTACCAGTATAACTCCCCATTGACTGTGAGGTTAGCCGTGACCGGGAATTTAACTCACACTTGTTGGGTCCACAGCGTAGTTCGGTAGTCACTGCACCACAACTCCACCGCATATATATATTTTTGATAAAAAAAAAACCCAAGATAAAAACATATTGCATAAGTGTAGGCGAGCCTTGCTGGAGAGCAGGAAGGTTGAGTAATGGACCTTTAAGGTACTTATGTACATTGTGACCACAAACTTACATCATGGTTATTTGAATATTTGGAGTGAATTATGAAACACAACTGTGAACAAAGTCGATGACAAAATCACCGAAGGAATTCCCCCTCCCCACTCCCTGTTAGTGTCACATCTCGGAAGATAAGCTGGGATGAGCCTGGATAGTGCTTGGTGGATAAGCGACCACCTTGAATAAAGAGGTTGTCAATATGTGTGGATTTCGGAACGAGGTTGCAGACATTAAAGTGCAGACCATCACAATGAATTGTATTATACTGCACATTGATGGTCAAGTAACCCTCACAACCTGCACAAGTGAGGGGAGGCCCTCATCCAGAAATGGATCGACAACACGACTATGCACGTACAGATACAACATTGGGAGGTCAACATTTTAATACTGTTTTGTTTTTAACCTAGGTCTCTGGAAATGTGGAAGGTTTTCACGAGTGACGAGTCCAAGCATGAAGTCAAAACGACATTTTACTGAGAGTTTTGTCGTCACCTATCCCCAAATATTCGTCTGATTGCGCCTTTTGTTTCATGCCATGAGATGCAGCATGAGATGTATCAGCACAACCCTCTTTACTAGAGAAAGGCCCACAAAAGTGGTTATCAAAGAACTACCTCTGAGTTCCTCCCACACAGCTTAAAAGACGCTGTCAAGTTTGACAGGGTTCACTCAAGCGCTGTCTTCTGGACTTGTCCTGTTTCTTCACCTGAGGACGGCTACTTGTGTTGTGGCCGAAACGTCGTGAGAATTTTATTGTTTTATTTTATTATTTTATTCTCATTCTTCGTGACTTTACCGAAAGAACCAAAGAAGAACTACCTCTGAGGTCCACACATTGGACGGCGGCACTTACCCAACCAGCTCTGCACATGATACATAATTGTCAAACCCATAGTTATCAGAGCTGCGTAGAATTTAGCCAAAATTAAGCGGACATTCAAACGTAAATGTGATTCGGTGATTGTTTTGTATGCAGCCAATGGTGAGCAGGCAGAGACCACCACCACCATCATCTCACTCTGCTGGCATTCCCGTCAGCCCCTTATCAGTGCCCCTACCTTATTACAGACCAACTCAGTCCTTTTTGGTCACCCCCGTGCCCCTTATAAATCTCAACGTTCATCCTACAAAGTGCCACCACAAGGGTTATAAAAACACAAACAAATAGACAACAAAAAATGTGCCCGTATTGAAACAATGGAGCTGAAAACTCAATTTCTCTGTTCAAGAATACTGGGTAAACCGCATGGGCTGACATGTATGTGCTTGAGAAACTCGGTTTATAGACGTAAGGTTGTAAAAACCTGGCATTGTAACCCACCAAGGTGATGATGGTGGCCAGCTGAGAAGATCTCTCTCTCTCTGAGTTTGTGCATTTGTGCATTTGTGACGCCACCTGCAGCATTGCCAACAACACTGCAACAAAAAGGCCCATTGGCTTCAGCAATTTAAAGCCTGGGGTCAACGACGCAAATCGCAACTCGAACAATCAAAAGCACGGCGAGTTTGGATGTTCCAAGAAGGGTCGCCAAAGGGCGCTACTGAGTTAACTTTTGTTTGCTCTGGTGTCGTCGTCGCTTGCGTAACCGCGGCGTAAATTGTACACACATCTCGGCGCTAACCAAAATCAACTTAACTTTACCCCTTCCACACACGACACCGTAGCGCGAAACGGTGGAGGGGGGGAGAGGGGGGTTGTTCCTGTTGTTGTTATTATTGTTGTTGTTGGTGCCGACCAAAAAACAACAATGTCACCGCTGTGGACGAGGTGCTGCTGCAGCAGCGGCGGCGGCGGCGTAAAGGCCGCCGCGGTGGCTCGGTGCCTCCGGCCTCGCGGAGGCCCCCTGCGATCAGGCCACGCGTGGGGGGGCCACCCCCTGCGATCAGGCCACGCGTTGGGGGGCCACCCCCTGCCCTCGGACATCGCGGGGGGCTCGCTGCGAGGCCCCGCCGTCGGACGCGCCCGCCCGGCGGCAGGGCCGTGGCGGCGAGGGAGCCACGCGGCGCGGGGCAGCCCGGCCGATGTACAGACGTGGTGGTGGACCGTGTCGATAGCGCCAAGGTCTGTATCTGTGTGTTATTGTATGTGTATTATTGTATTATGTGTGTTATTGTATGTTTATTATTGTATGTGTATTATTGTATGTATGTGTATTATTGTATGTATGTGTGTTATTGTATTATGTGTGTTATTGTATTATGTGTGTTATTGTATGTTTATTATTGTATGTGTATTATTGTATGTATGTGTATTATTGTATGTATGTGTATTATTGCATGTGTATTATTGTATGTATGAATAATAATACTGCACGACATTTTTTGACAGACGCACACAGCACCACCAGGGTTGGCATGCGGCACACGTGGCATGAGATGGTGAATCCACTGATGGATGAGGAGGCACTTTGCCACACTCCAATAGAAACGATTTGATTACTATTTGTAATAATAATAAGTGTTTTCCCCCTTTTTTCTGGCAACGAAACTGAAACCTTTTTACAAGGATTCATGTCTGCATTAACCACAATACCTGCAGTCAAAATGCAAACAAAAAAACATACTATGATAATATATGCATTGTCCTTGAAACTGATCGGTCCAGGATCATAACATGAATCCTTGTTAAAAGGTTTCAGTTGTGTTGCCAGAGAAAAGGAGGAAAACCCTATTATTACATTTTGGTGCCGTCAAAGGAGGTCTAATGATGATTTGATTCATCTTCAACGCACTCGATAGGGGTTACTCGCGACGGGGTTACAGAGAGGCCCCGTGTCTTCGTCGGCTTCTCACGGCGAACTACTCGGGGCACCGACGGTGTACAATTGAAGTGCCTCGCTTGATGCACACATTGGAAGCAGTGTTCGGTGATTTGAAGCCTTTTTGCGTGACTTGAGGGCCGATTGCCCCCCCCCCCCCCCACTGAGTCAAACCCAGTCCAGCGTCTGGGCTGTCACATTTTTAGTTTGTTTGTTTTGGGCCCATATTTGACACTTTCCGTTTTCGTTTCTGCACTCTTATACTTATATAACGTGGCATGTCATCTGTTTTTTTTTGCATTCGGCTCTTGAATCGGGTGCAACCACAACACACACAAAATTAACACGAACAAGAAAAACATCTTAAAGTGACTGTGTGTGACTGTGCAAAACAGAAAATTCATGAAAAAAACAGCAAAATATTCCTGAAAAAAGCACCGTACACCAACATACATTAAGCTTTATGGCCCTTCTTACCTACATCAGGCACTGCTGGTTTGTTTGTGTGCTATTAGATGTGTACACGTTGCAAGTGCTATTTGTAAATCCACTGCTGGATGAGGGCGACCGTACGCCGTGTGGGTTGGTGGTGGTTGGTGCGAGAGGGGCTCGGAATCAGAAACTTTATTTATCCTGGAGAAATCCGATGAGCTATGAAGCTCTTTTTGGATATGTCCAGTGGGGGGCGGGTCAAAAAGTTACTACAACAACAAACAATACAAAAACACGATAAGGGTTACTTGACCATACTTGACCAGGCTGGTCAGAGTGGTTCGATTGGTGGAAGCGATGAGCATAGGCGTGCAGCATCACTCCATCCTTATTATTCGTTTACATGTTCACCACTGTGTGTGGTTAATGCAGACAGGATTCCTTGCGAAAGGTTTCTGTTTGGTGTTTTAACATCTTAACAACAACTGTTTTATTGCCAGAAAGGGTAAGACCCTATTCTTATATGTCGATATTGGCAAGAAAGGTCCCATATTGTGCTGCACTGCACTCTGCATAGTTGGATTGTCCTCGGTGTCAGCATTTAGTACATCTACCGGATATTTGATAAAGTTTGTAAGACGTGGCTTTACACCCAAAAAATCTAATGTTGGTGACAATCACGCCTAAAAACACGTGTGGCATAATATATTACCAATTAGGTGCCCAATTACTCAATTGGGATTACACATGGGAAGCATTGCCTCCTGACTGCTAAAACTTGGCAGGACTCTCCTGGAAAAAGAGTCGTGAGACTCAGTGAGGAGGCTTTCCTGGGTAAACGTGCATAATAATACAATACATAAATATCCTAAGTGTGTGTTTTAACTGTAATATAACATCAAACATAGTAATACAACTGTCTGAGTATTCAAGGGGTAAAATGTTCATTCAATTAATATTAATTCCCATTCGGTAGGGAAGGTTTTACTGAAGCCAAATACTCTCTTGTTCAGAAGATTCTAAATTGAACTCTTGAGCAAATTCCACGAATGAGTGTTCTACCAGTGTGAGGACGAAAGTACCAGAAGACACCGTACGAAAATGAGGGGATGATGCTCGAAGCCCCACACAAATGGGTGCGATAAATTGCTCTACGACCATCTCTTGACCACCAATCGGTCCAAGCCTAGAACCATGGAACTGTATTCCCAAGCAGTCTTTTAACTAGGCTTACACTTATTCTCGGTTCTTTCGGTAAAGTCATGTTGAAGGGAAACAATACAATAATATATTATTGTTTCCCTTCAATAAAATAATATTTTATTGTTTCCCTTCTATGTGACTTTACTGAAAGTACCAAGAATATGAATCCCTGCAGTCATGAAAGCTTTCAATCAAAATTTAGGCTTACACTTGTTTAGCTTGCGAGTTTTTATTGTTTAATTGAAAATGTAAATACAGAAACAAATCTTGAAACCAGACTAATTAGGGGGGAGCCTTTACTCAATGAATTTATACTGTACTATGCAAAAATTAAGTCAGCAGTAGGCTGGTCTTATAATTTGCATTTGGAGTGGTGTAATTTTCCTGAGCTGATTGCCAGAGACTGCTGCTGGGAACCCAGCTACCAGGTTTCTGTGACACTGACCATGAATAATTTGGACAATATGACATGGTTTTGTGGGCTCTGTCTTCCCAGGATGGCAGGCCTTGCTGGCACACCCATGGGAGCCCAATCTCGGCTATGGGCACGTGGTTTCACCACACAGCGTGGAGAGGTGGCTGAGAAGCCAGCAGTTGGAACGGCCGCCCAACAGGTGATGGGGGTCCCTTTTGCATGGCTATCATGAATACCGTATTTGGCATACCAATGACGAATACAGAGTAATGTCTTATTTTATATTTCATTCCAACCAGGCTCAGGCGGCTGGGTCCACGAAGAAGCCAGACCCTCCCATCGCGGAGTCGGTTGGAACGCCCAGCAAAGCACAGCAGCTGAAGCGCGTATTCAAGGAGTATGGTGCAGTCGGAGTTGTGTTCCACATATCAATCTCGCTCGTCTCTCTCGGCATCTGCTACCTCGCCGTGTCTAGGTGCGGTTGACGATTGCGAGCTCCGTTTGGAGCTCCCTCCGGCTGTTGTATGTGTGTCGAGTGTATGATGTTGCTATATGTGGTGGTGTTGTGTAGTTGTGTCGTGTGTGATGTGCTTTATAGTATTATTGTATGGGTGGTGTGTTATGTGTAATGGTGTTGTGTGCGTACAGTTTATTGTGAACGTACTGTTTTTGTGAGTTTCGTGGCCTTGTGTATGATTGTGTGTGTAGTGGTGGGAGCGTACTGTTGTTTGCATGTTGTTATGAATGCAGTTGTGTGTGTTGTGTTTCCGGTGATCCAGTTGTGTCCATATGCTATTGTGTGTGTAGTGGTGTCTCCCACCTTATGTTGTGTGCATGGTGGAGTTCAGTATGTACACTGGACACACATAGGCATCAAGCACCAAGCAAAAGGGCACTCACTACATGGTGCATACACAGGGCATACATACATGATTACATACTTATAATAGAATACAGAAATACTGACTAAAAATCCTCAACACATTAGTCAATAACACTGCCATAAAAGGGGAATATATATAATCGGAAAGTTTCAGGCAATAACCCTCCTTTATGGCCCTTAATAAAAGCTGGCTTTTGCCCAAAACCTTGCCTAAATTAATATACATATTTCCTTTTAGGTGACTGCATTTTTGTTATTCACGCTTGTGCATCACTGCCAACACATAAGTGAAAAACGTTTACTTTTTAGGATTAAAAAGACTAATATTCTGGCTAAATGAACACTGGATTATTGCGCCGCCGCTGCGTGTGCATGGTGTGATGTTTCCGCGTGCAGTGGCTTGGACGTGGAGGCGTTGCTGCGGAAGCTGGGCGTTGGCGAAGCCTTCTTGAGCTCGCGTGCTGCCACGGGTACCAGCACGTTTGTGCTGGCCTACGCCATGCACAAGGTGATGGCGCCGGCGCGCATCAGCATCACGCTTGTGTCCGTGCCGCTGCTCGTGAGATACCTGCGGAGGGTCGGCCTCTTCCGCCCACCTGTCCCCAAGCCCTGAGGATGTTGCTCAACAGGCCCCCATCACACGCGTTGACCGACCGTCTTTTGCCAACCACTGTGATGGCACCTTAAGTATGAGGGCTCCCATATTTGTTGACTTTTGTTTTGCATTGCTTGTTTCTTTCTCACCGAGATGTAGGGTTACTACCTCTGAGGTGCGAAACACTGGGATATATCATGGAAGTAAGATATCTTACAGTACTGGAATAGGGGAGAAATAATTGTCAATTGATTATATTCGGTGGTGAATTATTAAGCAACTGACAAAAGCAGGAATGTTTAATGCCCTGGGAAGACTAAAATATTTCCCTGAACAGCTGCTTCAAAAATGGGATGATCCTGGGAAAAGCATGATAAGTGGCAACCCTACTGAGATTGGAGGATGTAGTGCATGGCTCATGTGCAAGTCTGTGTTTTATTAGTTAGATGCAATTGATTAATTATTTTGTAGAGAAGACTTTACGGATGATGTAAAGAAGGTGCAAAGTAGGTCACTGTGTGGCCAATGTTTTAGCTAAAATCTTAATGTGAACATTGCCTGTAATTAATTTACTAAGCGGGCCCTCATATTGTTACAAAACTGTGGGTTTGTAGTAATAAAACAATGAACAGTGTTTATTTTGCATACAAAAAAATTAAGCAGCTTTTAAGTCCATCAACCAATGGTACTTTTGGACGAATATATTCTGGCTGGTAAACTCTGGACTGGTTTTGACTTTTAATCTCATCAGCTGGGTGCGGCTTGCCTAATCAAACTTAATATTGCAAAGTTGCCATGCGTCTTGTATACAAAACCCATCCATGACCAACCATGGGACAGGCCAACAGTGCGGTTATGCATGTCAACTTGGAAAACACATAAGACATCACACTGGGCCCCCATGGTTGATGAAAGGTGACCAAACAGTGGTCTGATCACTACCTTTAAAGTGCTGTGGGGAAAATAGAACCTGTGGGCTGAGACAGCTCATGCTTGGTTGAAAGTGCACACTTGTATGTTTTATTTTATTGTCTTATAAATGATGGCAAAGGTGACAAAGAATAAACAATTATTTTTGTGCGTAACATACAACCTTCAAATTGCCCTAGCCAATTGAATTGAAAGCACAATAGCATTTCATATATGATGTCATCTGCCTGTAATATGATTACTTTTGATGGCATAAAAGCAAGGCATATACATTGTGCGTTAATATATTAAAGTACTCAAAGAGAGCTTTCGAGATAACGTTGGGTTCTCCAACGTTTATGGACTGGGCCTGGTCACCAATGGCTGCACAAAAAAAACACCACGTGAATTTTGGCTTCATACTAATTTGGATAAATTCCTACTATGATAATTAATAACAGGGTTTCCTGTCATGTGACCAGCATGACTGGAGTGTGGGAAGTGATGCACTCTAGTGTGGATTAAAGGTCACTTGAAGAGATTTCTTAAGTAGTTCTATAATGTCATTCTGCAGACTTTTCTAATACACTGCTCCCTGACACCGATAACACAATTAGGATGACGTCGACGGAGAAAAGACTTTACAAAATAAAGACAAGGGCACATTGCATGCAATGCTGGCATGTGCATACTATAATTTAGTGGTTGATGGTCCACTGTGCACACTGGATTGGCCTGTGTTCTTGGGCTTGGTCCGCCAATTGAGCAAGCATATTGCTTCAGCTGGGACCGATGCAGTCAAATGTCGTTGACTTACGCGTGATATTACACAGCCCATGGACTACACGGCCCAAGAACAGCACACCCGCCAATGCACTTTGTGCGACCATTTCTTGGACACTTATTTAAAACATGGACACTGACGAAGAAGATGTATCAAAAGCTTTGCAGAGTGCCAAGAAGCGTGGAGAGATGGGATTACACTGAGATGGAAAGAGGAACACGTACTTAACTGGTAATTCTAAGTGGGCTTGAGTAAGACGTTATTAGAAGTGATGAGGCCATTGGGTGAAAATAGCCAAAAGAACAAAGTACATCCACCATGGAGATGGAGCAATAAGATTTCATTATATGCAAGTGTTGAGTGGGTTGTTGCATCACATGACCACAAAGGGTGGCGGTGACTTCAGGCCTTCATCCAGCAGTGGATCGATCATGGCTGAATATACATTAGTCTTTAAAGCTGAATTAAAACCACGCTTATGAAATTAAATTGCAGTGTAATATAATATACCACATTATATACCACGTAATACATATATGTATTGTTATGCTAAAACAGGCCCTTTGGTTTAAAGTGAATATGCCTGTTATTTAATAATAGTATATATGATTTTCCTTTGTGTATGTGGAATATCAGTGAAATGATAATGGATATAGGGTGCAATTATTACATATAGGTGAATGTTCTTTGAATCTTACTAGGACAAAACAAGCAAATGTACCCAATACCAGCAATGCAGGATAATACTAAAGTGATGTTTCCACCGTTTCATAGAAATGTGAATCTATCCCATTTTCTCCAATTAAAAATATCATGCAGTACTTTATATTGACAAAAATAACACATATTCTTGTGGTGATTTTTGACACCTCGTGCATATGGCTTGTAACATTTTGTGAAATGTGTCCTGCTGCACATTGCTGAATAATCCAGTGATCATGGTTTTAATGTTTAATGTTGGCTGCTTGTGCTTTCTCCTCAGTACTGTACTGAGCCATTTGCACTGCACCTGATATAGATATGTTCTTGGAAGTGCCAACTGTCTCCAAAGTAATGGGGAAATAAACCACGGAACCAGAGACACGATTTTTGTGTAATCACAGAATTTGGGTTTTAGTTGATGAATTATTACAGGTTGATGCTTCTTTAGTTTGCACGAGGGGTTAAGATGTTAGTGCTAACTCATAGTCTAGGGTTAGAGTTGGCATGTTTGGGTTATGGGTAAGAGGTTAGGGTTTAACATTCGGGTTTTAGGTCAGTGGTGTCCAACTTTGCTGGTCTTTTCAACCCTCACATTTCTCTCTCGGACCACCACGAAGTATACATTCTGGTGTTTTGTGAATGTTTTTGTATCTGCAACAGTTCCATGGACCACTTTCCACGATCTTGCGTGGTACCAGTGATCTGCAGACCACTGGTTGGGAACCACTGGTTTAGGGGTTAGCATTATACTTTAGGGTTAGCGGTTTGGTGTTAAGAGTTTCGGGGTTAGGATTTAGGGTTGGGGTTAAGGTTAGTTGACCACTTTTCTTGCTACGAATCTGCGATGACAATAATCTCAGCCGAATGTTCTTTGGTCAAGCTATGCCTGCAAGTAGTAACTGGACTTGAGTACTTGCAGGATAGATAAATGATGGAAACGACTCTTGTGACTTGTTACATCAGCATAATTTTTATTTTCCATTCCATTGTGAAGAAATGTGTACATAAAATCAATATTAACATGCAGTGGTGAGTTATTGACTTGACAGTCATGTTAACACTGCAGTTATCGAATTTAAAATAAAACATTCTAAAATAATTACGTACATTTTGTTGTTGTTTCGTATATATATTACTTGTAACTTGTGGAGTGGTGTGGCTCAGTGGTTTGCACTTTGTGCTGTGAACCTGGATATTTAAGTTCGATTTTGGACAGGGCTAATATCAGTGACGAGTTATGTCGGAACTAGTCCTGTGCCCTTTCACTTAACCTCTGACTTAACCAAGTCGCACTGATAAGCATAAAATATAGTCAAAGACCTCCATGATCATCGTGGAATGGGGAGGCCTTTATCTAGGGCTATGTAAAATAGTGGGTTGCAATCAATTACATACTCAGTAGATGAATAGACTGGGGGATATTTTACCAATTAATTTGAAAATGTAGCAAAATGCCTGGAAAAAAAACCCCACGCAAAGGGGAGGAGAACACATACACAGCCGCAGACAAGTAACTTTGTTGGACAGAAGGCAGGTATGTGTCTTGTGTCACACTCGGTTCTGCAAAACGTATTCCAATGTGCTAATTTCTATGATGTGCAATTGTGACTTTCCATATGATCACTACATATTTGGGTCCTATATGAAGATTTTAAAAAACACTAATATTTGAGTGACACTAAATTATATTCTCCAATGTCTATCCAGTGTGTTGTGCGCGACATATAAAAAAAAATCACAAAGCATCACTCCGGTCATCACTTTCCAATCTCAAACACTGCAATAAAAGTACACTCTTATCCGATCCATGAATTGTCATGGTTTCGGGTAACGATTCCATGTTCCATGGAAGAAAATACAAATCGATGTTTTGTGTATGCTTTCAAGTGTATTGCAGATCGCATTTGTAGCATATGTAGTCTCGTTTATATTGGCTACTGTTATGTTGTCTGTAATATCTCGCTTCTAATTCATTGCACGAGTCCAGATGTAACCTTTGAATCACATTTGCATATATCAAACGTCCAGTAATTTGTCAATCCGCAGCTGAATGGTTTGTGGGGAGTTATTTAAACATACTTCACCATGCTGGTCATTGCAGGTTGAATCTTTATTAATATAATTTTTATGAATCGATTAATGATCTGGTTCAAAGCAATGCATGCATACATACATATCCCACACAACCTAGAAAATTTAGGGAATGCGTTGATAGTCGTGCACACGTGGTGCACATTGCTCTAAAGAGGGGCAATAGCATTTCAGAGCAGGCATCTTTAACAAAGGACCATTGCCCGAAACGTCGTCCCGATACATCCACCCAGTACATTCTAACAACGCGTTCATTTTGAGATTTGAAGCTTTCGTGACTGCAAGGATCCATATACTCTTTGGTTCTATTCGGTAAAGTCACGTAGGTAAAAAATACAATAACAAAAATCACGACGTTTCGGCCACAACACAAGCGGCCTTCATCAGGTGAAGGGACGAGACTGTTTAAAGGTCGTGATCTGAGCGTGGCTTTGTTCACTCCAGCGCTGTCCTCCAGACAGTCTCGTCCCTTCACCTGATGAAGGCAGCTTGTGCTGTGGTCGAAACGTCGTGATTTTTGTTATTTTATTTTTTACCTACGTGACTTTACCCAATAGAACCAAAGAGTATGCGTCTATGCAGCTCCACCACGCGGTCCCTCCCCTCCCCTCCTCCTCCTCGCATTCTTTCTCCCTTGCTGCTAAATGTGAGCACACGTGCTGCTGCTGCTGCGCAAAGTCTGCGCCCGCCTATGACGGACGCCCTCTGGGCGGGGGCTGAGCGGACTGCACCACTCACCCTGCAGGGCGAAGGGGGAGGAGAAGGAGGGGAAATTGTCGAGATATTCTCCACACGGGCGTGGGGGTGGTGGTGGTGGTGGTGGATGGGTGGGTGGGGAGGACATTGCGTTTGAGGGCTTTTTATTTTTTTTCACGGACGGGACCGACTCGACTTGAAGACGCCCCCTCTCTCTCTCTCTCGCTCTGCCTTTTGTCACCGGATCCCTTTAATTGCCTTGGGAGACACGGTGAGCGCCATCGTCCGCTTGGAGGCGCCTTGCCTCCGCCGGATATAAGAGAAGAGAGGGAGAGGAAAAAAAGTGTCCGTATTTGTTGGGGAGGAGGAGGGGAGGAGGAGTGCGAGAGATGGGCCAAGCCGGGCGGCAGAGGGGAGGGTGTAACTCTGAAAAGATGAAAACCCTAGTGCCTTGAATTCACAGCTCCATCCTCAACAGCCACCACCACCACACAACCAACCACCATCACCAGCTGCAAAATCAGCCAGCAGAAGCAACACGAAGGCTCATTTCCCCTCTCTATTTTCTCAGCCCTGGTCTGTCGGTGGTCTTTCTCGCAACCACACAGACAGACCACAAGAGACAGAGAGACACACACACACCAACAGCAAGCAGCAACAGCAGCATCACCACGAGAAGCAAATCCAGCAGCAGACAGAGCAGATAGCCATGTCCCTGGCGTTTGTCGCATCCCGGCAGCAGCAGCAGCAACAACAACAACAGCAGCAACAACAGCAGCAGCGAAGCAAGAGTGAGGTTAGCCAGGCGAGCATCCAGAAGGTGAGAGGCTGTGGGGGAGGGGATGTGAGATGTATGTTGCTGGAGGGGGTTGGGTGATAGGTTACGTGGGAGGTGTATATTGGGGGTGGTGGTGTGGGTGGGTGATAGGTTGGGGTTTGGAGATGGTGGTGGATCTGGGTGTGATTTTTTTTCTTTCGATGAGAGGAGATGGATGGAGGAGGTGGGAGAGGGTTGGGTGGGTGGGTGGTGGTGGTGGGGGTGAGATGTGTGGTGTTGAGTGAAATTCGGTTGTGGGATGTTGTTGGTGGGAGGTGGATGGGGGGGTGATGGGGGGCGATGGATGCATTGATTTTGTGATGTGTGTTGTGGGGGGCAGGGAGGGGTATTGATGTAGGGAGGGAGGATTTTGTGATGTGTTTTGTGGGGGGCGGGAGGGGTATGAATGTAAGGAGGGAGGATTTTGGGATGTGTTTTGTGGGGGGCGGGAGGGGTATGGATGTAGGGAGGGAGGATTTTGTGTTGTGTTTTGTGGGGGGCAGGGGGGGGGTGTGGATGTAGGGAGGGAGGATTTTGTGATGTGTATTGTGGGGGGCAGGGAGGGGTATTGATGTAGGGAGGATTTTGTGTTGTGTATTGTGGGGAGCAGGGGGGGTGTGGATGTAGGGAGGGAGGATTTTGTGATGTGTTTTGTGGGGGGCAGGGGGGTATGGATGTAGGGAGGGAGGATTTTGTGATGTGTTTTGTGGGGGGCAGGGGGGTTATGGATGTAGGGAGGGAGGATTTTGTGATGTGTTTTGTGGGGGGCAGGGGGGGTATGGATGTAGGGAGGGAGGATTTTGGGATGTGTTTTGTGGGGGGCAGGGGGGGTATGGATGTAGGGAGGGAGGATTTTGTGATTTGTTTTGTGGGGGGCAGGGGGGGTATGGATGTAGGGAGGGAGGATTTTGGGATGTGTTTTGTGGGGGGCAGGGGGGGTATGGATGTAGGGAGGGAGGATTTTGGGATGTGTTTTGTGGGGGGCAGAGGGGGGTGTGGATGTAGGGAGGGAGGATTTTGGGATGTGTTTTGTGGGGGGCAGGGGGGGTGTGGATGTAGGGAGGGAGGATTTTGTGATGTGTTTTGTGGGGGGCAGGGGGGGTGTGGATGTAGGGAGGGAGGATTTTGTGATGTGTTTTGTGGGGGGCAGGGGGGGTGTGGATGTAGGGAGGGAGGATTTTGTGATGTGTTTTGTGGGGGGCAGGGGGGGTGTGGATGTAGGGAGGGAGGATTTTGTGATGTGTTTTGTGGGGGGCAGGGGGGGTATGGATGTAGGGAGGGAGGATTTAGTTATGTGTTTTGTGGGGGGCAGGGGGGGTATGGATGTAGGGAGGGAGGATTTTGGGATGTGTTTTGTGGGGGGCAGGGGGGGTATGGATGTAGGGAGGGAGGATTTTGTGATTTGTTTTGTGGGGGGCAGGGGGGGTATGGATGTAGGGAGGGAGGATTTTGGGATGTGTTTTGTGGGGGGCAGGGGGGTATGGATGTAGGGAGGGAGGATTTTGGGATGTGTTTTGTGGGGGGCAGAGGGGGGTGTGGATGTAGGGAGGGAGGATTTTGGGATGTGTTTTGTGGGGGGCAGGGGGGGGTGTGGATGTAGGGAGGGAGGATTTTGTGATGTGTTTTGTGGGGGGCAGGGGGGGTGTGGATGTAGGGAGGGAGGATTTTGTGATGTGTTTTGTGGGGGGCAGGGGGGGTGTGGATGTAGGGAGGGAGGATTTTGTGATGTGTTTTGTGGGGGGCAGGGGGGGTGTGGATGTAGGGAGGGAGGATTTTGTGATGTGTTTTGTGGGGGGCAGGGGGGTATGGATGTAGGGAGGGAGGATTTAGTTATGTGTTTTGTGGGGGGCAGGGGGGGTATGGATGTAGGGAGGGAGGATTTTGGGATGCTGCGATTCGTATGGCGGGTGGAGGGGGCGAGGTTGTGGATGGATGCAGCGAGGATGTGATGGTTTATATATATACTGTAGTGGTTAGAGTGGTGAGGGTTTATATATATACTGTAGTGGTTAGAGTGGTGAGGGTTTATATATATATACTGTAGTGGTTAGAGTGGTGAGGGTTTATATATTGTAGTGGTTTTAGTGGTGAGGGTTTATATATATACTGTAGTGGTTTTAGTGGTGAGGGTTTATATATACTGTAGTGGTTAGAGTGGTGAGGGTTTATATATACTGTAGTGGTTATAGTGGTGAGGGTTTATATATATACTGTAGTGGTTTTAGTGGTGAGGGTATATATTGTAGTGGTTAGAGTGGTGAGGGTTTATATATATACTGTAGTGGTTATAGTGGTGAGGGTTTATTTATACTGTAGTGGTTTTAGTGGTGAGGGTTTATATATACTGTAGTGGTTTTAGTGGTGAGGGTTTATATATACTGTAGTGGTTTTAGTGGTGGGGGTTTATATATACTGTAGTGGTTTTAGTGGTGGGGGTTTATATATATACTGTAGTGGTTTTAGTGGTGGGGGTTTATATATACTGTAGTGGTTAGTGGTGGGGGTTTATATATACTGTAGTGGTTTTAGTGGTGAGGGTTTATATATACTGTAGTGGTTTTGGTGGTGGGGGTTTATATATTGTAGTGGTTAGAGTGGTGGGGGTTTATATATACTGTAGTGGTTAGAGTGGTGAGGGTTTATATATACTGTAGTGGTTTTAGTGGTGGGGGTTTATATATACTGTAGTGGTTTTAGTGGTGAGGGTTTATATATACTGTAGTGGTTTTAGTGGTGAGGGTTTATATATACTGTAGTGGTTTTAGTGGTGAGGGTTTATATATACTGTAGTGGTTTTAGTGGTGAGGGTTTATATATACTGTAGTGGTTTTAGTGGTGGGGGTTTATATATACTGTAGTGGTTTTAGTGGTGGGGGTTTATATATACTGTAGTGGTTTTAGTGGTGAGGGTTTATATATACTGTAGTGGTTTTAGTGGTGAGGGTTTATATATACTGTAGTGGTTAGAATGGTGAGGGTTTATATATACTGTAGTGGTTTTAGTGGTGAGGGTTTATATATACTGTAGTGGTTTTAGTGGTGAGGGTTTATATATACTGTAGTGGTTTTAGTGGTGGGGTTTTTTATATATACTGTAGTGGTTTTAGTGGTGGGGGTTTATATATATATTGTAGTGGTTATAGTGGTGAGGGTTTATATATACTGTAGTGGTTAGAATGGTGAGGGTTTATATATACTGTAGTGGTTTTAGTGGTGAGGGTTTATATATACTGTAGTGGTTTTAGTGGTGGGGTTTTATATATACTGTAGTGGTTAGAGATGAGGGTTTTATATATATACTGTAGTGGTTTTAGTGGTGGGGGTTTATATATATGCTGTAGTGGTTAGAGATGAGGGTTTTTATATATACTGTAGTGGTTTTAGTGGTGGGGGTTTATATATATACTGTAGTAGTTTTAGTGGTGGGGGTTTATATATACTGTAGTGGTTAGAGATGAGGGTTTTTATATATACTGTAGTGGTTTTAGTAGTGGGGTTTTTTATATATACTGTAGTGGTTAGAGATGAGGGTTTTTTTATATATATACTGTAGTGGTTTTAGTGGTGGGGGTTTATATATACTGTAGTGGTTTTAGTGGTGAGGGTTTATATATACTGTAGTGGTTTTAGTGGTGAGGGTTTATATATACTGTAGTGGTTTTAGTGGTGAGGGTTTATATATACTGTAGTGGTTTTAGTGGTGAGGGTTTATATATATACTGTAGTGGTTATAGTGGTGAGGGTTTATATATACTGTAGTGGTTTTAGTGGTGGGGGTTTATATATACTGTAGTGGTTTTAGTGGTGGGGGTTTATATATACTGTAGTGGTTTTAGTGGTGGGGGTTTATATATACTGTAGTGGTTTTAGTGGTGGGGGTTTATATATACTGTAGTGGTTTTAGTGGTGGGGGTTTATATATACTGTAGTGGTTTTAGTGGTGGGGGTTTATATATACTGTAGTGGTTTTAGTGGTGGGGGTTTATATATACTGTAGTGGTTTTAGTGGTGAGGGTTTATATATACTGTAGTGGTTTTAGTGGTGGGGGTTTATATATACTGTAGTGGTTAGAATGGTGAGGGTTTATATATACTGTAGTGGTTTTAGTGGTGGGGGTTTATATATACTGTAGTGGTTTTGGTGGTGGGGGTTTATATATAATGTAGTGGTTTTAGTGGTGGGGGTTTATATATACTGTAGTGGTTTTAGTGGTGGGGGTTTATATATATACTGTAGTGGTTGCAGAGGGGCTGCGTGTTAGTGATTTGAGACGTGGGACGTCGTGTGGTGGTGGGGGGTGTTGGGTTGGGAGATTGGCCCCATGTACGTGGAGGGGATGAGGTTGTGGGTGTGGGGAGGATGCAGGGATGGTTGGTGGGTGGTGGTGGGTAGGTTTTTGACGGGTGGTGGTGGTAGGTGGGTGGGTGGTGGTGGTAGGTGGGTGGGTGGTGGTGGTAGGTGGGTGGGTGGTGGTGGTAGGTGGGTGGGTGGTGGTGGTAGGTGGGTGGGTGGTGGTGGTGGGTGGGTGTTTGAATCGTGTTTGGGGGGAGGGGACGCTGGTGAGAATGAATGGGGGTGTGCACACGCTGGTGAGAGAAAGAAGAGGATTGGTGGTGGTGGTGGGGGGGTGTGCACGGATGGCTTCTCTTCGGACGTGCGCAGCGGTGTTGCCACAATGAAATAAATCGTCCACGTGAAATCTGTGCGTGCGTGGGTCACCGCACGTGTGTGTGTCTACACCAGTAACGAGGGCCGTGTGTCTGTGTGTGTAGCTTGCCGCGCTATGAACGCCCTTGTACGTGCTGAGTGTTTTGAGAAGGCGTGGTGGTTGTTGTTGGTGGTGGTGGAGGGAGGATGTGTGAGCAATCGATGTGCATACAACCGCGTGTGTGTGTGTGCGATTGCCGAGGCCAAAAGGTTGTGTGGCTGCGTATACAGTGAGGGAAAACTTAAGTATTTGATCCCCTGCTGATTTTGTACGTTTGCCCACTGACAAAGAAAT